CACTTCTATAAATCGAAAGGAGACTGCGACCATAACAGAGGCCACAACATCTTGGTCTTTATATCTTCAAGGGAATATTAAGTTAAATTCACCGTATACTTCTGGACAGTTCGAATTATGAATTATATTATCAAGCATTTTCACACAAAAGTAAAGCCAATTAAGTAATGCATCGTCAGAATATTTACGAAATTCTCTCCTTTTTATTATTAAAAAAAAGCTTATATCTCCATCGTATGCGGTAAAACGTTCTCAGGCATTATAACAGCTTCCTTTTTAAGCAACCGCATTCTGTCTAACTGATAAAATAATTCATAGCAGTTCCTTTCTCATTGCTGCTGGACATAATTGCATCAGTATTTGTGTATAGACTATACCAAATTTTAAAACCAATTATCCACTGATGTGCCTTGTGGCAATTAAAACAATAAAACTTTGCCTATTTTCAGGCGCAAGCCGGGAATTATGACTTTATTTTGTGTGGAGTGAACTAGCTATTAATTGGGGCTTTGCCTGTAATCAAGTGTCTTAACAATCCTTTGATCCCATACACTAGCCACCCTTCGTCTGCATTCTATATGATGCATAAAAACTGCTAGGATATAGCGTAAACCAACTTTATCCATAACTAAGATGGCATCCATCTCGGGCAACATCTGATGCTGGTTTGTGGCGACGATTCGTAATGTGCCTGCGAGTCCTTCAGGATCGCATATGCATTGCCGGAAGACGAGACGGGCCAGTTTCTCGTCCATCGGAGCCAGCGGGTCGTCCAGCAAGCAGATATAGGCCCCACCGCTTGATTTTGCCTCCACACAGCCGCTCCAGAAATTTGCCATGGCCCGAGTCGGATCATGGCGCTGGACCTCAGAAGACATGATGACGGCATAGGCAGCACGTGCCAGGTTTACACAGGCCCGTTGACCGCTGCTTAGGATCACGCCATTTTCACCCAGCTCAATCGCATCACAGAGGCGGGAATGTCGTAGCATCTGGCCAGACACGAAAAAAAGATATAACATTTGAGATCCTAGCTATTATCTAGAATAGCGCTCATAAGCTTGTTAGTACCAATTTTAACGTAGTTATCATGGGTCCAAATCTTGTCGAATGAACCATTTTCGTATGGGATTTCAGGAGCTGACAGCAAATGTATCCACATTGTATCGAGGATTGCGTTTGATTTGGTATTTAACTCCGGGATGGCATGTTTCTTAAAGGACTGTTCTCTACCGATGTGAACTGCACTTTCCGCCTTACGTGGGTCTTATCTGTGACTCAATAAAGGTTTGGGATACATTCCACAGTAGAATGTGAAAATACACCAAGCTTTCCTTTATAGTTAAAAGCGTAATCAGTTATTGTAACACCTTACAAATTGGTATTTAATATAAAAATGTGATTTCTCAATAAATAAATAAATTTGCGCTTAGATAACTGATTACTTATAATTTTTTCGTATATAAACAGAGTTTCGAGACTACCAGTAGATCGGTTCTATGATGTGTATACACTTTATTTAGTTTAAGGTGATGAAGGACTGGTAGTAAAATGTTCTCGCAATGATGAGTAGAGCTGACGTGTCCATTGAATTTCACATTGCCTTGCTTTCCCAAAAGTTGTTCTCGTCCGGGGTGGACGAAATAGGGTAAATATATTACTGATAGTCTCGAAACTCTGCTTATATACGAAAAATAAGTAATGCAGTCGATTGTTATAGCAAAAATACGTTTGCTTCATCGACATTCCTACCAAAGAATATAATATGGAAAAGACCTGGCCTTCCCTGAAATTCACATCTGCCCTCTGACTCAATGGTACTCGTGGCAATGTGGCTGAGTGATTAACGTGTCAAGCTCACATGCTGCACTGTCACGGTTCGACTTCTGCTAGGGATGCTGATAAGACCTAGTTGCGGTCGAAACTGCAGTCCATCCTGGATAAGAACAACTATTGGGAAAGCAATGCTATGTAAACTGTTTTTGTGACTACCAGTAAATCAGTAATATGATATGTATTCATCCAATTTCGTTTAAGGTGATGAACGACTGGTAGTCAAGAGAACAATACTTAATTTGAAAAGTAAAGTATAGTAGTCGATTGTTATAGCAGATATACGTTTGCTTCATCGACAATTCCAAGAAAAGAATATGGTATGGCAAAAAGGCCTGGCCTTCCTTGAAAATTCACATTTGCCCTGCTACCCAAGAGGCGCTCGTGACAGTGTAGCCGAGTGGTTAGTGTGTCAAGCTGCCATCCTGCACTGTCGCGGTTCGACTCCCGCTGAGGGTGTTGTTAAGACCGATGCGAGGTCGAAACTGCAGTGCATCCTGGATGAGAACAACTTTTAGGAAAGCAAGAGTATGTGAAATTCTATGGAAACGTCAGCTTAACTCATATCATTGGGGGAAAAGTCTTCTTCTACCTGACCTTAATCACCTTAAACGATATTGGCTAAAACATCTCATATTACTGATTTACTGGTAGTCACGAAAACAATACTTAATTCGAAAAATAAAGCAATACAATATTTTCTTTGTTCACTACCCCTATTA